TTGTCGTCATTTTAGTAATGAGAGTTATTTCACTTTAATATTTAACATATATCGACGCCTTGTATATGTAAACAGCGTGCTGTTATGACAATTTAAATTTCCTAGTTTATGATGTCCATTGGATAAGAAATTTTTTTTATTTTTCAACGTTAAATGATAACTGAAAAATTGTTTCCTCCCTTTGATTCATTTGTTAAAATCCACCTATCACCAAAAACTTTTTTCTGAAATATTAGTACAAGGTGTAATGTTTAACGTATCCGTGAAGAAATCTTTTTAATTTGTTCAAATCATCTTTTTGCTATGTCGGTTGTAAGTTGCTTTTAAATGGACCCTGTCTGTCTTTGCAAAAATTTAGATTCTAGCAGAATTATCATATTATCGAAGGTATTTGGTATATATATCTTCTATTGACAAGTGCCTTGCATGAAGTCACAAAAGTAAGTTAATCAAGACTTTTCGAACGATAGGCACACTGTAAATTTTTAAGGTGTTAATTGAACACTAAAAAGCCGTGTTAAATTAAAAGGTACAGAATAACACCATTTCGGGTGTTATTTTCTTACTGGTGTTAAATTAACACCGAGTTTGGTGATAAAATAGCGCCTATTCTTGGTGTTATTATAGCACTTGTTAAAGTGATAATTTAGCCCTTAACGTCCGGTGTCAAAATGACACTTAAATTCGGTGTTATTTTGTAACTCCTTTTCTTATTGTTTTATGTAAGGCCAGTTAAACGCGCGACACAAAAATGCTGAGCATTAAATATATTTAAAAAAATCAAATGATTTATATGCCTGTATTCACACATATAAATATATACAAAACATAAAACATTCTATAAACAAGTCAATATATGAAACAAGTAAAGTTAAATGTATATATATAATTAAATATATAAAACATCTTAGAAATACTACTATATTATAATTTCTAAAGCCCCAAACTTTTCACAAACTTCTGAACTGAAACCATTTTCTTTGCATTTGCGGGCTTACCCATCAAAACTACTTCCAAAAGGGCATAAATGTTACAGGCCTTTGGTGTATACTCCACATTAAGTACATAAAATGTACCTAGAAGTAGTACTATAGACAATGAAATTTCTATACTTTTTTTGACAGATTTAAAAAAATTTGCCCTTCGGTAGCAATTACAAGGGGTCTAGACTCCCTAATTCTCCCGATCCAATTAGTCGTGGGTAGGTGGTGTTTGCTATTTCATCATCAGAAGAGTCATCTTCCTAAACAACAGCATAAACATAAACACAATTAGAATTATTAGGTCATTGAAAGTGAGACACAATATTGTCATGTCATGACAGCAGGGGCGGATCCAGCAATTTTCGTGACTGATGCACCACTGCGAGTGCCAAAGGCTCTAGCTCTGTAGAGGGGTCTGGGAGGATGCCCCACGGAAAATTTTATATTTTAGACCGTCGGAAATGCGATTTCCTGCGTTTTGACAACAGAACTTGGCTTTACTTAGTTTGTAAGCTTTTTGCAAATTTCAATGATATAAAATCTAAAATTCCACTAACTTTTTAACATTTGCATTACTATTATCAGATTTATCAAGTTTCATACCTTCGTCAAAACTTACAATCAGGAAGGCATCATTCCAATCCACGAGTGATTTTGAAAAGGTAGAAGCATCGCACATTTTTTGTCGTGAAACGCAAAGAAACCTTTTATATCCCACAAATGAAGCACAAGTTTTTGACCATTAATCACACTTGATACCACTCGTCCAACAACAGAAAAATATACGTAGATATAGCAAAGAAATGTTCACGATGTAATCATCGTACCAAAGGCAGGCAACAAGTAATGATAAATGTTATTCTTCTCCTTTCGTTGATAATATCACTCGTCCAACAGCAGAAAAAGATACGTAGATATAGCAAAGAAATGTTCACGATGTAATCATCGTACCAAAGGCAGGTAACAAGTAATGATAAATGTTATTCTTCTTCTTTCATTGATAATACCTCTCCTCCAACAAGAGCAGAAAAAGATACGTAGATATAGCAAAGAAATGTTCACGATGTAATCATCGTACCAAAGGCAGGTAACAAGTAATGATAAATGTTATTCTTCTTCTTTCATTGATAATACCTCTCCTCCAACAAGAGCAGAAGAAGATACGTAGATATAGCAAAGAAATGTTCACGATGTAATCATCGTACCAAAGGCAGGCAACAAGTAATGATAAATGTTATTCTTCTTCTTTCATTGGTAATATCTCTCCTCCAACAGCAGAAAAAGATACGTAGATATAGCAAAGAAATGTTCACGATGTAATCATCGTACCAAAGGCAGGCAACAAGTAATGATAAATGTTATTCTTCTTCTTTCGTTGATAATATCACTCGTCCAACAGCAGAAAAAGATACGTAGATATAGCAAAGAAATGTTCACGATGTAATCATCGTACCAAAGGCAGGTAACAAGTAATGATAAATGTTATTCTTCTTCTTTCATTGATAATACCTCTCCTCCAACAAGAGCAGAAAAAGATACGTAGATATAGCAAAGAAATGTTCACGATGTAATCATCGTACCAAAGGCAGGTAACAAGTAATGATAAATGTTATTCTTCTTCTTTCATTGATAATACCTCTCCTCCAACAAGAGCAGAAAAGATACGTAGATATAGCAAAGAAATGTTCACGATGTAATCATCGTACCAAAGGCAGGCAACAAGTAATGATAAATGTTATTCTTCTTCTTTCATTGGTAATATCTCTCCTCCAACAGCAGAAAAAGATACGTAGATATAGCAAAGAAATGTTCACGATGTAATCATCGTACCAAAGGCAGGTAACAAGTAATGATAAATGTTATTCTTCTTCTTTCATTGATAATATCATTCCTCCAACAGCAGAAAAAGACACGTAGATATAGCAAAGAAATGTTCACGCAGTTACCATCACCTCTAGTTCCACACAAGCAATAAAAATTAGAAAGTCTATTGAATAAAATCACTATTGACTCTATGTTGATAAAGAAAAGCCTTTTAGGGGAACATTCATCAAGCCTTAAAGTGTAATTTTTTGGGTTGCCTTTAACAATCCATAAATATTTTTTAGATAATTGAATCTAAGCATGGTAATGCCAGTGCTATACTTTCCCAACCAAATTCATGAGACCAGCTTTCAAGGGAGTATAAGTATGTACATAATAGCTAATACTATGTGCCCTCCTAGCTTTAATCAAAGTGCAATGGTGAGGACTTCTATACATAAGGAGCAGGATACACATATGCACATATGCAAAAATAAAATATGGTGATGTAATATACAATGAAATATGTTAAAGAATTACAATATAGAACTGTTGCTCTAATATCTTTATGTATAGTGGGTAATTTTGAGATAATAATAATCATGTAAAGACAATACAGTAACATGAAATCTATGTAAATGAAATGCTTTGCTGTGTACCCACCCTTTTGTGATCATAATGTTTTATGGTAAATTTAGAAATTTGGCACACTGTGCATGATTGTAAATGAGAGCATACACTCAAAAAAACATCATCTGGTAAACTCAAGATTCCAGTTATAACAGCAACAGAGAAGATTCAAAGCAATATTTCAACTTCATATGAAAGTCATTATCAAGCTAGGTGTGGAAGAAATAATAAGGAATTGTTGTGGCTGAAATAATATGTAATTACAGTTTTCTTTGCTAAATTTCAGGGAATTGACAATATTAGGCATGCAATTTGAAAATGAAAAACTCTAATGAATAACATGGTTGGTCCAGCATAGCTCTTACATTCAACACATTGCATAGCTCAGAAAGTTAGTATTAATAAACAAGCAAAATGTATGAAAAATGTGCCCTCTCTGTCTGTCACATTGAGCACATATTACAACATATTACATGGAATATTTATAAATCTATGAAATATCCTGAAGTAATGTCATATTAAATTATTATCTCCAGTATTTTTATGTATATTAAGTAACTTTGAAATCACAATATCCATGTGAGCACAATTAGAGTGGAGATTTCTCCAGGAAGTTCGTAAGACTTCTACCAGTGACTTTAATCCGAAGAAATCTCAAGTATAAATATGCAGGATTACCCAAATTCAAACATGTAGTAGTGAATAAAATGTTTTGTGATCTTATGTTATATGACACTTTATAAACTTGGCACAACAACATGCATAATTATGTGCACACTAGTTATGGCATAAATCCAGAGCATTGCCTTATACTAATGGCTAAATTTCATTGAGCCAACAATATTGGACATGGAGTTTGAAAATTGACATTGTAAAATACAATACAGTAAATTTCCATTTAATAGATTAATGCAGGTCAGGATGCTTTGAAATTTGAATAAATGCAACAGGAATAAACACCCCATGTGCCCCTTCCCATCATATTCCTAACATTAAAGAGAGTAAGCCATAAGCATTACAGAAATACAAGTATAGACCTATAGCTATGCATTACAATGTCAAGCATAGTAAGCAGTAAGCACTTCAAGCTACTTACTTTAAAGCCCGCCAATTATCTCCCATATGCTAAGGGATAAGCAACTCTGCGTTAAGATCTCTCGCCAGCTTTCCTTTCGAAACAGGTCTGTTTTAGTCGGAATGGCAGCAGAGACTTTTGCTTCATAATCCTTTCTTACAGACGAAATCTCGCTGGTTTTACTGTCTTGAATCAATGAGCCAAGATCGTATATATGCCTACTTTCAGCTTTATGACTTCAAGATATAAATAAGCCAAACGCCATGGTCATGTAATTATAATTTTGAAGGTTTTAAGATTTATAACGCTGGCTCAAGTACACCAGTCAGAATGAAATTTTGGTGTTCGTGGGCTTAAGTGCAACAGTCAGCAGCGATTTCCCACCGTGACGTAGGCTAAAAAACAATGAAATTCGTGACGTTTAGGTGGTTCACTCGGCCAAAGAGACTCGGGACTGTTGCACCAACTGGTGCACTTTTTCCCCACCGTGACGTAGTGATTCACTAGAGAGCTTAAGCAACAACGTTTTATCCGACAACGGCGTCGTGAGACATCGCGAAAGACTGGGACGAGCATGACGTTCCCGCGTATATTTAAAACAGTTAAGCAAAGTTCGTAATAGAAAGCGGCGGTAGAAAGTGAACTCTTTTTCATGTCTTCGTTTAAAACAATACGAAACTTTTGTCTTGTGCTTTTTGAAGAAGGTTACATTACAGAATATGAATTGATCATATTGTACAAGGCATATAAATCAAGGAACCCAGAGCTTCCATTCAAAAATTATGAGCCATTTTGTTTAGATAATCTAAGTGAGGATGAATGTAAAGTAGAATTCCGAGCCAACAAACACGATTTGATTTTCCTCCAACAAAATCTTAGAATCCCTGAAATAGTCAAGTGTCCACAAAGGACAACATGTTCAGGACTGGAGGGGCTATGCATTCTTTTAAATCGTCTTGCTTACCCTTGTCGATTTTCAGACATGATTGGCAGATTTGGGCGACCAGTTCCTGAGTTGTGTATGATTGCAAATACCATCATTGACTTTATTTATAATTATCATAAGCGAAAAATTACAGAATGGAACCATGATCTTTTAAGCCCAGAAAATCTACAGGTTTATGCCAATGCCATCCATGAAAAAGGAGCACCTTATGAAAATTGCTTTGGCTTTATTGATGGAACGGTCAGACCAATTTCACGGCCAACAAAACATCAGCGAATTGTTTACAATGGCCATAAAAGAGTTCACTCTTTGAAGTTCCAGGGTGTGGCATTGCCAAATGGTTTGATTGCACATATTTTTGGTCCAGTTGGTATGCTTATATTATTTAAATGAAAATATTATTGTACACACTATATTGTACAAGCAAAAACAGTCTATAACTCAGGCAAATACTTTCTATATTACAGAAGGAAAAAAACATGATGCTGGTATGCTGGCTGACTCAAACTTCCTTCAAGACCTGGAACAAAATGCTTTTTCTGTGGATGGGAGACCATTATGCATATATGGGGATCCTGCTTATCCACAGAGGATTCATCTACAAGCTCCTTTTCGGCATGGGGTAATCACAGACAGAATGAAAGAATTCAACAAGCAAATGAGTTCAGTTAGAGTGTCTGTGGAATGGTTATTTGGAGATGTGATCAACTCATTCCGGTTCATGGACTTCAAAAAAAACCTCAAAATAGGGCTAAGTAGTGTTGGGAAAGCATATATTGTCTGTGCATTGTTAAGAAATTCACTCACTTGCATGTATGGAAATATAACATCCAAGTTTTTTCAGTTAGATCCTCCAGCCTTGGAGAATTACTTTATAACTAATTAATGAATGCCAAAATGACTCATTATTAAACACACAAACAATTAGCAAGTATGTAACTTGTTATGTAAATACTGACAAGCGTAAGTGAGAAAGTTATTATAATTCAAATAACAAAACATTAAAAGTCCATAGTTACACAGATTGGTAAAACACAACAGTTAAGAATTCTTTCCTTGTAAGTGACAACACAATCTTACTTGGTTGTGAACCTCTGAATAATGTCAAGAAATGCTGTTGACAATTGCTGTTGTTGCTGAAGAAGTAAAGCTTGGCTCTCCATCATTTTTAGATTTTGTTGTTGCATCATTTTTAAGACTTCTGTTTGTTGTGTAGCTGCTTGGGTACTCAATTGATTTTGTATTTCTTGCTCATTTCGCTTTACTTCTAGTTCTGCACGACGGATTTCAATTTCCTTGCTTGATCTTTCTCTCAAATATTCGACTAATTCACAACTTCCGCGGGGCTAGATTATAGAATACCCGTCCACTTACTACAAATCCAATTTTTAATGGATACGCGGATGCGCGGTCAGCAGTTAACAGTGCGGGCTGCGGTTTGTAGTCCATACACGGTTATGCGGTCAGTGATAATTAAATACAAGAAAATTCAACGTCACTGCGAAGTCAATTTATAGTGGATATGCGGATATGCAGTCATCAAAATCTTATATTTAATTTTTAACATAGGCAGAGCCATATATACAGGCCAAGAATATAAATGGCTATTCAACAGGCTTTACATACAACACGCCATCTGGAAACTTATATATATATTTTCTTTAAATTGACTTGATGTTGCTGAATTTCTAATCGCTTCAACTTTAACGTATATTTACATCTTACAATCTTATTCTTTTATTCTTTCATTCAAAGTTCCCATATATCTTCTTAGCATCTTCCAAAAAAACTTCGAATAAGTCTTTGCCTTTATTTTCGTATCTCCACAGAAACTCTGCCAGATACGACGAGAATATATATTTTCGTATGCCAAATGGTGGAAACTTTACCTTGGCCTGGCGCCAATGTCCTTCAATTTTATTTGTGTGATCTCCATTTTTGTTCACGAATTCCACTGAATGGTTCACTTGCAAGTGCTTGTAACCGTGTTTCTCTACCTTTAAATAAGCCTTCCAACAGTCCGATATTATTGTCGTGCCTTTTTCTATAACTGTTTCAATTATCGGCAACAGCGTTCTCTCACTCCTGTCTTCTACTGCAAACATAAAACTCTTTCTACTGCCCTCTTCTATACCCCCAAATACCCATTGTCCTTCTACCCTATGTCCTCTATGATATTTTCGTTTCCCAAATTTGCTCTCATCAATTTGCACCCTTACACCTGGACCACCAATTTTTTCTCTGCATTCAAAATAGTTCAACTCGCAAATTTCCCTACAAAAACGGTCCCAATCAACTACTGTATTTCCACTAACATCTACCTCAAATCTCATTGTTTCCTGTTTAACATCTCTACACCACCAATATGTCAACTTGAAAACTTCTTCCAACGTTAAATTACTGCCCTCAAACCAACTACCTTTCCGAATAGATAACTCAATCTTATGTCGCTTACCTCCTATTTGCTTTCTACATTCCCATTTACAACCGTCCGACCTATCATCACACTCGACCAATTTCATAACGCTATCACAACGAGGGCATAGCCGATTACTAGCGATCAACTTCCTTTCCATTAGCCAACTTATCACACAATTTCTACTGGTAAGTACGCCGTCTTTAAGCTTGTCGTATGTCCAATAAACATTTCCTTGGTTTGCTTTTCGTTGATAACTTCCTATCCATTCGCCGCATTGCGTTGCAACACTTTCGCATTGTAGCAATGATAAATCTGTTTGAATTTCTTTTGCTTTTCCCTTCCTTGCCGCTACTTGAATCCCAACATTTTTCTTTTCCTCAGCGCCATACATTTTGCGTATTATGCTGCTTATTGCTGGCTATTTCCTTTGCTAGCATTTGTAGGCAACAATCATATTACAAATTATATGACGCTCCTATTACATAACTTCCTTAAATGAGTCATTATTCAACTACCTGTTAAAGTTATTCAAAACATCGCCTCACACATTGCAAAATTCCTATGATACACTAACTATCCAATGGTATCGAAAAACAACAAAATTCTTTGATGAAATTTTAAATTTGGAGAGTTTTTGAAAGCGCATTTATTATTACATTGCCTATCGCTATTCTTGTTGTACAGAATGGGTGGGGTGATATTCCCTTCACACGTTTCGAAAATTATACTATCCACAGTTCATACCACCAAATTGTTGAAAAAAGACTCCAGCTTTCAAGATTAATTGACGGGAATGCTTTCTACAATATTCCTTCATAACCGAAAGAAATGCCTCGTTCTTAAACAAAAGAAATGCCTCGTTCTTTAATGCCTCGTTCTGTAATGCGAAAGAAATGCCTCGTTCTTATGCCTCGTTCTTTAAACTCGTCACTGCGTATCCACGTATCCGCGTATCCACTAATAAACATAGCTTCAACTAACTTTCTTTATATAGGTACTAGTCCTCTTATCTTATGCCTCGTTCTTTAAACTCGTCACTGCGTATCCACGTATCCGCGTATCCACTAAAAAACATAGCTTCAACTATCTTTCTTTATATAGGTACTAGTCCTCTTATCTTATGCCTCGTTCTTTAAACTCGTCACTGCGTATCCACGTATCCGCGTATCCACTAAAACATAGCTTCAACTAACTTTGTTTATATAGGTACAAGTCCTCTTATCTTATGCCTCGTTCTTTAAATCACTGCGTATCCACGTATCCGCGTATCCACTAAAAAACATAGCTTCAACTAACTTTCTTTATATAGGTACTAGTCCTCTTATCTTATGCCTCGTTAAACTCGTCACTGGTATCCACGTATCCGCGTATCCACTAAAAACATAGCTTCAACTAACTTTCTTTATATAGGTACTAGTCCTCTTATCTTATGCCTCGTTCTTTAAACTCGTCACTGCGTATCCACGTATCCGCGTATCCACTAAAAACATAGCTTCAACTATCTTTCTTTATATAGGTACTAGTCCTCTTATCTTATGCCTCGTTCTTTAAACTCGTCACTGCGTATCCACGTATCCGCGTATCCACTAAAAACATAGCTTCAACTAACTTTGTTTATATAGGTACTAGTCCTCTTATCTTATGCCTCGTTCTTTAAATCACTGCGTATCCACGTATCCGCGTATCCACTAAAAAACATAGCTTCAACTAACTTTCTTTATATAGGTACTAGTCCTCTTATCTTATGCCTCGTTCTTTAAACTCGTCACTGAGTATCCACGTATCCGCGTATCCACTAAAAAACATAGCTTCAACTAACTTTCTTTATATAGGTACTAGTCCTCTTATCTTATGCATCGTTCTTTAAACTCGTCACTGCGTATCCACGTATCCGCGTATCCACTAAAAACATAGCTTCAACTAACTTTCTTTATATAGGTACTAGTCCTCTTATCTTATGCCTCGTTCTTTAAACTCGTCACTGCGTATCCACGTATCCGCGTATCCACTAAAAACATAGCTTCAACTAACTTTCTTTATATAGGTACTAGTCCTCTTATCTTATGCCTCGTTCTTTAAACTCGTCACTGCGTATCCACGTATCCGCGTATCCACTAAAAACATAGCTTCAACTATCTTTCTTTATATAGGTACTAGTCCTCTTATCTTATGCCTCGTTCTTTAAACTCGTCACTGCGTATCCACGTATCCGCGTATCCACTAAAAACATAGCTTCAACTAACTTTCTTTATATAGGTACTAGTCCTCTTATCTTATGCCTCGTTCTTTAAACTCGTCACTGGTATCCACGTATCCGCGTATCCACTAAAAACATAGCTTCAACTAACTTTCTTTATATAGGTACTAGTCCTCTTATCTTATGCATCGTTCTTTAAACTCGTCACTGCGTATCCACGTATCCGCGTATCCACTAAAAAACATAGCTTCAACTAACTTTCTTTATATAGGTACTAGTCCTCTTATCTTATGCCTCGTTCTTTAAACTCGTCACTGCGTATCCACGTATCCGCGTATCCACTAAAAACATAGCTTCAACTAACTTTCTTTATATAGGTACTAGTCCTCTTATCTTATGCCTCGTTCTTTAAACTCGTCACTGCGTATCCACGTATCCGCGTATCCACTAATAAACATAGCTTCAACTATCTTTCTTTATATAGGTACTAGTCCTCTTATCTTATGCCTCGTTCTTTAAACTCGTCACTGCGTATCCACGTATCCGCGTATCCACTAAAACATAGCTTCAACAACTAACTTTATATAGGTACTAGTCCTCTTATCTTATGCCTCGTTCTTTAAATCACTGCGTATCCACGTATCCGCGTATCCACTAAAAAACATAGCGTCAACTAACTTTCTTTATATAGGTACTAGTCCTCTTATCTTATGCCTCGTTCTTTAAACTCGTCACTGCGTATCCACGTATCCGCGTATCCACTAAAATCATAGCTTCAACTAACTTTCTTTATATAGGTACTAGTCCTCTTATCTTATGCCTCGTTCTTTAAACTCGTCACTGCGTATCCACGTATCCGCGTATCCACTAAAAAACATAGCTTCAACTAACTTTCTTTATATAGGTACTAGTCCTCTTATCTTATGCCTCGTTCTTTAAATCACTGCGTATCCACGTATCCGCGTATCCACTAAAAAACATAGCTTCAACTAACTTTCTTTATATAGGTACTAGTCCTCTTATCTTATGCCTCGTTCTTTAAACTCGTCACTGCGTATCCACGTATCCGCGTATCCACTAAAAACATAGCTTCAACTAACTTTCTTTATATAGGTACTAGTCCTCTTATCTTATGCCTCGTTCTTTAAATCACTGCGTATCCACGTATCCGCGTATCCACTAAAAAACATAGCTTCAACTAACTTTCTTTATATAGGTACTAGTCCTCTTATCTTATGCCTCGTTCTTTAAACTCGTCACTGCGTATCCACGTATCCGCGTATCCACTAAAAAACATAGCTTCAACTAACTTTCTTTATATAGGTACTAGTCCTCTTATCTTATGCCTCGTTCTTTAAATCACTGCGTATCCACGTATCCGCGTATCCACTAAAAACATAAATTCAACTAACTTTCTTTATATAGGTACTAGTCTTCTTATCTTATGCCTCGTTCTTTAAACTCGTCACTGCGTATCCGCGTATCCACTAAAAAACATAGCTTCAACTATCTTTCTTTATATAGGTAATAGTCCTCTTATCTTATGCCTCGTTCTTTAAACTCGTCCTCTTATCTTATGCCTCGTTCTTTAAACTCGTCCTCTTATCTTATGCCTCGTTCTTTAAACTCGTCACTGCGTATCCACGTATCCGCAGAATTAAAAGGGTGCCTTTAGAAATTGGACGGGTATTCTATAATTGCTCCTTCCGCGGCGTACTTTTTTAAACTTAACATCTGAGTTTTGCCCATCAGATTTTCTCTTGCTTGTTTCGCCCATTCGTTCCAAGGCTGTCATCCTTATATCAATAGCATTTGCATTTTCCTTTTGCTTTTGAACTGATGCTACCTCAAGGAAGCTGTCCTCTTTTTGGCACAACTCTTCAATCAAACTTTCTTTCTCCGACAGTTCGTCGATATCAATGCCACTTGCCCTTTCTTCTTCGCGCATCTTCTGCTTGAACTTAGCTTTTAAAAGACTCCACCGGTCTCGAACACTTCTTTTGTCTTTTAAAGTAAAGACTGGCGCTTCCGTTTTATTTAAGTTTTCGACAATAGAATCCCATACTAATCCCCGATTGGGGCTTCCCTTTTTGTATTGGAACAGATCACTAACCATCATTTCTCTCATCAACAATAAATCGTGCTCATCTGTCCACTCCATTTTCTTTGAATTGTCCGCCATATTAATTTTAGAGAGGTTTTAGAGGCAACCTTGAAACATGTATTTTCACGTCGGCGCGGAGGCCCGACGGCGTAAACAAAATACATACAACGCAGAACGGAAATAAAAACAACTTCCTCTTGCCGTTGCCGTCCAGTAAAACGTAGTTGCTTAAGCTCTCTACTATCTAGCCACCGTGACGTAGTAATACAAGTTCAGCTCAGTGTAGCTGGATGATGAAACAAATTTTCGCTAAAAATGTCGACACATAAAAACGCCATATTTAGCGACGCATTTTTTAACAATGCGGCTGTAATCAATATGATACTCACATGTAAACAATCTACGAAGGCTTTTAACAATATTTCTCAATGATCAATGTACATCTGTTGTCAATGTATTGTCAGTGTTAAGGTATTTAAAGCATTTAGAAACTATAAACGTTCCAATCTGATATATTTCTTGCATTTTGCTCATATTGATTGTAAGTTATAATGTTGTGAAATATTCAATTTTATGACTGATGCACTCGCATCAGTTGCACCACCCTGGATCCGCCCCTGTCATGACAGTAATATAATTGTGTTTTTATTAAGGCATACATAATATTTGCATCATCAAATATTATATAAAGGTCTATAGATCTGTAGTTGAGAAACATACAGTGAGGCCTCCCCATTGAGTTTTTTGTTGTATTACGCATAGCTTACTGCTCATTTGATGGCCGTAGTGGAACCAGTAAATTGCATAATCTACAATTAGAAATGAGGAAATTGTTAATGGCTGCTATTATACTAAATGAACATACAGCAGTAAATTGCGAAACAAAGTGGACCAACTATATATTCCATATTCTGTGATACATCTTGAACTGATGTTGACTAAAATTTAAAAAATAAAAAGCTGAAAAGATCGTCTGTACAAGGTACGTAATATAAATTATGTGAAAAAGTATCTGCGCGCACATGACTGTCGTTCGTTAAAATCAAGGAAATTACAATTTTTGTTACGTGACACAAGTCACAATTGACATTTCCTATATTTATGACGCCAGTAAAAATCTTTTAAATATCTTATTTAACAATTTAACTTATGTTTAAAAGAAAATTTTACATGCAATGGTCGTTGAGAATTTGTGCATACAATACATAAATAGAAACTTTCACAACTTGGCAATATTTCCTTATTGACAGACTACAATATCCGAGTTTCAGAATGACACAAGTTTCTTTTTTTTTAAAACACAAGCAGTATTGCGGCTTTTATCTACTTTTCAATAAGAAAGCTAAGAAGCTCCTTGGCATCAGACGAAAGCAAACATATTATAGAATATACAATATCCAGAATCATGGACGAAAACGGGGCTTTTTGCTTTTGAATTTTATTTTTTTGTTTACACGAGTTCTTCTCACGAAGTAAACCAAGCACCATTTCGATTAACTTCTTCTTACACTGTGCCTTTTTCAGGCACTTATAACTTAAGACAACCTTAAAAATGTTTCAAACAATTTTTATTGGTTTATATTTTTCCGATTTAACACTTGCATTTACTGTTTCTCATCTATCACGAGCAAACCATCCATGTGCTTCATGGAAAACGAGTATCTGTTTCCCTTGATCAACATGCTGAATTCTTCTCATAAAAGAAGCTAAAACATTCAAGGATACTACAAACGTTTAAACAACTTCTGCCTACTTCACTTATAATTTAAGCATGTTTATACGTGCTTTTACTTGTCACTTTTTGCAATGTAACTTTCTCATACCTCTCTTGTGATGAACGAGAGCCTCCTTATACCATATAACTCTCTCACCATCAACGAAAGCGTCAAAGGGCTTCATGGAAGATAGGGAATATCTAATTTTTTATAATAGTTTCTGCAAAGATAACATTTAATAAGCCAAGCAATTTGTATCGTCTAAGTTGGACCTCGCTTTCAAACCTTATGTTATAAAATTTTGATTCACTTTGGACAGTAAATTTCTTTTACATTGCAATATTTTCATGATTCAATGTTTGAAAGAACTTCTTTACTCGAGTAATTTTGCGATTAAAAAAGCACAGTCTTCGGAATCAAAGGAATTCTTTTGATCGCATGGAGACAGCCGTCCAACTTATTACGTACCTTTTGCGTATATAAAGCATTTCCAAATCACGTACAAAATTTCCTTTACATGACCAAATTACCGTCTATTTAAACGATTTATGTAACTTTATTTACTTTGTTTAAACAGTTTAAAGAAATAAACTATTTTAAGATATGTATCCATTTAAAATCTGAAAAATGATTTTATGAATAGACTAAAACAAATCATTAAAGGCCACAACACTATGCCTTACCATTCAAATAAGGTCTCAAATGGTTTTTGCAGGGTAAAGCAACTTGCAATCCAGTTACTCTTCTTGTTATGTGTACACTTAAAACATAATATTTCATATAACAAGTGTAAAAGTGGTTGAAAGTTTTTATACTTGTGAAGAATAGAGAAATTTAGTGTGATTTTTTTGTCATGGAATTACAAGTGCAGAAAAATCACTGAAGAGTTTCATGCATTACAACTTAGGTACGCAGTTTGTGCCATGGCAATTTAAAAGTACACGCTTTATCTTTTTAATGCGAAGTTTTATTAAACAGTAAGCTAAGTAATTAAGTAAAATACACTTTCTGACTACAACAAATATTTTTTTCTTCTGAAACCATAACCCATTATAACGTGTCAAGTGGGTGCCATAGAGCTTCAACCTACACAAAAAGAGATTATAAAATTTTTAATTTTTCATTAATGTTTAAAAATAAATACGTTTTTTGATTGTTACCTTTCCACATTTTACAGCATCTCAAGTAATCAATATTATGAAGCCAATTCCCTTTATAATCTCGTCTTAACCCAGCAATGTAGTAGCCATCTTTTTTGCACATTGTCCATCCTTTCTTTTTGAAATCAATTTTTTCATGGCTACAGCGACCATATTTTTTGGGATGATTAAATGGTTTGCAACACATCCCTCTTTCGATGTTTGATAAGTGATTGCCACACGAACGATACAGACCATATAGAAAATACCCTGCTGGACAAATATTCCATGTTCCTCGTCTAAAATACAATTTGTTTGGTAATATGTTTCTGTCTTTATTTCATCAATTTAATTCTTTAAGACATTGCAAATTTTTTAATTAAAAAGCTGTTTCAGTCACTAATTTTCATTGCGAAAAAAATTAATAAACATTACGCAGCTCATAAAAAAAACAATTCTTAAAGTTGATTGCAAAAAACAGAATATCTCAGCTATCAGGAGCTAGCAAAACGATCAGTTTTCACAACAACGTTAAAAGAGGAGTAAAGTACAAAACTCGATTGAAATGAAAAGTCAAAATGTCAAAACACAACAACAAATAATTAGTACCATCTCAGATTAACCCTTTCAAAAATTTTCCATATCAGGAACTCACTTATTGACATAAAATTAAACCGTCATGATTGTTCATGGTTGTATGGTGTGCGTAATGTTTCCTCTTTTTTGGTTTTTCGTTCATTTTCACAGTAGCATGCATTAGCTTGGTACACCAACACACAATTATTGTCTAAAAGTATATTTGTAGGAAAAGGTACTAACACGTTGAAAAATCTCTCCCAGTCAGCGTTTTTACAATTAATGTATTGGGCGAAATATTTTGGACTTAACGGGCAGCATTTTGCTTGTTCAAGACGGTCGAGTCCATCATCCTTAATTACGCTGTTGCGATAAAAGCCAGTGATTAACTTGTTTTGGGGACCACATGTCGACCATCCTTCTTTTTTGAAAGATATCCCCCAATTAGCGTTCACGCAGACAGGATGAACAAGGGCTGAAATAAAAAAGGAAATAATTTTTTCTAATGAAATAACAGTATAAAACTAAATTGCAATAATTCAGTTTGGAAACTTTTATTTTACATCTAATCATTTTTAAAAGCAAAAATCTTGTTGGATATTATCCATTGTCAACTTGTCTTAAAGAGTAGTTGTCAAAAACTTATTATGTTGTAGAATTATCTAACTAGCTATAATTGGCATATAAATGTAAGTAAATTTACTTATTCATAATATTAAAGAAATATTTGCAAGAGTGCCTATCGTATAAAACAATCACTGAAGTCGTGTTCTAACATTTACAACGAAATATCATCCAATTTTGAAAAATTTAAATATAGTGTATCCAAATTAGTTCTGTTGAGAAAACCATCTATAATGACTTTGATGACGCATGTGCACAATGAACAAAAAGGTAACGCTTTCATGTTTCCAATTCTTTTAAAAAATACAAATACAGAAAAGAATAGATTCGAGGCAGACCAGGTGAAATAAGTTAATCGACAGACTAAAATTTTCAGAAAGAAAACTTTTGAAATTTGAATACGATGATAAAATTTGAGTTAATGTATTTTTATTAACAAGTATTTAATTCATCCTCTCCAAGGCAATGTTTAGATGTTAAAGATTTATTTACTTGATATTTTTGCAGCTAACTGATTTTGACTTGAAGGTAGTACTTGTTGCAATGTTGACTGTTCAAAGTCATAATAATTTCTTTGTCTTAGTAGGTTTGTGACAAATTGTGTGTCTTGTAAGTTAAAGAAATCTTGCTCTGTTTTGATTGTTAAATAGTAATTATGAATCCAATAAATTGGCTTAACATCTTAGACCTTTGGTTTAGCGAAAAAATTGAACGAATCTTCACAAGTTTCGAATTTAAAACCAGAAGCACATTTACAAGAGAATTTATCTCCATTGTTTGTACAAACACCGTTGTTTTTACAAGGACGTTTGTCGCACGGTGTTGGTATTAGGGAGTTTTAGCAGAGCCTACGTGTACGACTACGAGTACGATTTACGTCATTTTGGCGCGAAAACATTGTTGCGACAACAAAAACACGTGGCCGTCATCAATCTGCGTACGATGTTTTGTAAAAAATTCGTAGTCGCGACTACGATGTCTTTTTAAGCAAAGAAAGTAGGTATATTTCTTCATTCTGTAAGAAATTAGTTTACAGTACTATTTTCGAGCATCCAGGCTTTCATTTAGAACTCTTTTTGAGCGCAGATGTATATTAAAAAGGAAAATATGACCTGCAAAACTTTCATGTATTTCGTACGCAAAGTGAAAGGTAAACAAACAATAAAATAGTGCAAATATATCGTACATAAAACTTAAAATAATGAAGATTTTTCAGTCTAAAGAGTCCAATATTCTCGCAAAACCAGTATTATCGATTCTTTGATATCATTATTGTCAAATAGAGCCGTAGCTGCTTCGCAAACGTCGGTGTTTTACACAATAAAAAGGCTCGTTCTGTTGTTTACAACTAAAGCAAAATTTTGACGAAGCGACAACGACAGCAAACTTCCTCGTGCCATTCCCTTACACGGTTAAATTTCGTACTCGAAGTCGTAGTCGTACTCTTGCTAAAACTCCCTGTTAACTCTGCAAGCGTGAAGATAAAAATTAAAACATTAGTAAATAAATGTAATTGCGAACTAAGCATTCCAAAACCCAACACTAAATCCATTTTTTCCCTTCCTATTTGCCATAACCTAAAGTTATTTAGTAAACAACCATCGAAGTTGCTAGCTTTTCATATAGAGCATCTTTTTTTTAATAGAAGTAAATGGTATATCTTCATAATCTGAACTGCTTTGAAAAGATTATATTTCATTTGTATTACAATTTGCTAAAAATGATTAAGCACTTTTTGTCTAATATAATGATAAATTTTGATAATTTTTTTACCAAAGACATGTGCCAAATACTAATAAACGATGATATGGAAAAGCCTCGTCTATTTGTGTCATTGATATAAAAAACTAAAATTATCAATAGTTTCAAGTTTTAGGTCATTTGGCGTCATTTGAAGTTTGACATCATAAATTTGCAAAATTTGCTTTGTATAAAAATATCTGGATTGGTCCAGTTTTAAATACATGTTGACTGTATTTTAATTAAGAAAACGTATGAGTACACTTACTCTGGCAATTCATTCCAGTGAAACCATATTTACATTTACAGTTATAAGAAGATCCAACAGTTGTACAAACACCTTCATTTTTACAAGGTTCGCTGGCACAAGCGTTAGGGACTAAAATGAAAAAAAACATCAACCCTAAACATTGTGATGAAAATGCACTACAAAATTTTTGTTTGTATTGTAATTGATGATTATATCACATGTAGCTAATAAATATTTGATAATTGTGTTTATGTCATATATACTCCAATTACGTTCTTGGAATTACGTTTTAGGTTCGATATGATTTACAGTGAGCTTAACACCAAGTTGTATTTGATATTTGAATGATTATAAAGCTTTTAATGACCCATATTCAAGTCTTTTATACATGGAAATCAAATTGTATTTTCAACAATAACTTCAAGGAGAACTCAAGCCTTGCTAACCTTCGAGTGTTGCCTTCAAAGCCAATAGCACATTCACACGAGAATGCATCTCCATTAATTGTACAAATACCATTGTTTTACAAAGACGTGAGTCGCAAGATGATAGTGGTAACTCTATGAACACAAAAATTATCGTATTGCTGTAGATAATATTTTGCCTTGATATTTCAACACAATACAAAATTAAAATAATTGCACAAAAACTAACTTCTATTTAAAGTAACAATGATATAGCTAGAAGTTTGTTAAAGTTGTTTGGAGACCAAATTTAGAATTATTTTCTTCAAAAGCTGTGGAAAATCCCACTTTAATGTAAAAACTAGTATTTGTATTTATGACTGTAGTAGTTTCAGAGAAACGCACTTAAATGTGGTAAACCTATTTATATTTATTTCTTTTTAAGTTGGGGACAACTAAAATTTAAAAGGGTGATATTTTGATGGCGGTAAAAAGTTGTATAAAAGTAAAAGTAAACAAAAAAAAGTAACTAACTTTTGCAGTATTGCGTTTGAAAATTTTATTGTTTGTTGATTAAATATAGGAAAGTGTTTGTCAATCAATTTCAAATAATCTTGTGCAATGTTAGTTGCAACGTTTTTATTAAAAGGTGGATTGAACCAAATAATATTTCTAGTGCATTTTTATTTGTTGGACTGGGTGTGTTTCTCTACCTTAGTTGAAAATGATGTTGTATTGAATTTGCTGTCTTCTATAGCGTTGCTGTAAATTTGAGCTACTCGATGATATTTTTGTCAGAAGATATGGACGAAATCCTGTGGTTTTTCAAGACTGGTATTTGTTTAATGATAGAGAGACTAGTAGTTGTTTAATTATAGAGAGACTAGTAGTTGTTTAATGATAGAGAGACTAAAAGTTGTTTAATTATAGAGAGACTAGTAGTTGTTTAATGATAGGGAGACTAGTAGTTGTTTAACGATAGAGAGACTAGTAGTTGTTTAATTATAGAGAGACTAGTAGTTATTTAATGATAGAGAGTAGTAGTTATTTAATGATAGATGGAGGATGATTGGAGTACTTATAAAAAAATAGGTGATTAATACTTTCGTGTATTTTGTTTTGTATTTGAAATACACCTTTTTTTATAAAATCTTCTTGTTTATATATTTTGTATTACTCTTATTTATTTTTTTAATATATATATATGTATATAATCACAGGCTCACCCTTCTCTATTTTTATGTTTACTACCGCTGACTGCCTCAAAACGATCCCCGTTTTTATTATAAACTGTATTATGACTATTTTTAGACATAATACATTTTATAATAAAAAACTTGACCTCGATGATATATATATATATATATATATATATATATATATATATAAAAAAATTGACAATTGTTTGCTGTCGCTACTGGAGTTTCTAATATATAGAATATTGAGCGCTCTTTTATCCAGGATTATTATCCGTAATATATATATATATATATATATAGGAAGTTTATAATTTATGATTTTCCGTATAAAACAGTGCTCGATGCCCGAGAGCAGAGCGTAAATATTAGTAAGGAGAAGAAAATACACAAAACTACAATTTCATCCCGACAAGCCTGTTTCGTGATTGCTCACTCTTCAGGGGATTTAATCACGAAAGAGTGAGCAATCACGAAACAGGCTTGTCGGGATGAAATTGTTTTACTCTCCTTATATATATATATATATATATATATATATATATTAGCTAACTATTACACATGAAAGCTTGTTCAATAAAAAACTTTATATCATTCTTTATATCAAACTTTAAATCTCGTTTTACTGCGTTATATGTAATCCTCATATATAATCACGCATTTTTTCTTGTTACGTAGTGTTACAATGAATGTAAGTTTTCCAATTACTTGTTTCACAGTTAATACCAATAAAGTCTGGAGGGCATGTACATTTGTATGAACTACCATCAACAACACACGAACCACCATTCTTACAAGGACTATGATCACAAACTCCAACTATATCAAAAATATATTTTAGAAAAAATTCATCAGACAAATTTTGAGCTATAAGTATTATTAGCAATATGCAATGGAACGGTGAATAAAATTTCGGGTAACACTGATTATGTTAAAATTAAAAACTTTATATTTAGTAATTTTAATTGACAGCAATATACTGAAAACAACACTATATATGTGTTTTTTTTTACAAGAAAGGCATGCAAGTATTTCAAAACGTTTATATTAAAATCACACAAAATATTTTAATAAAAAAAAAACAAGGAAATTATGATTTTCAATTGTTGCATAAGTCACTGAACATGGAAATAATAAACTGATTTTCATTAATTGTGCATTTTAAGTGTGTGGCTATGTATAAAGGACTTGCTCACCAAAATTAGGCTTAAATGGAATGACAGTTCATTTTATTAAATATTTCTCTTTTAATTTATTTTTATCGTACTGAACTTTTGAAGCCAATAACGGTTGATTTTCTAAAACATATGTGTTGTTTCTTAATTGTAAAGTTCCTTATACAACAGGAAATTTTTATGCTTAATCATAAAACTCTGAATAACTATTTGTATATTTGCAGTTTTTTGATATATTTTCGTTCTAAAATATGATATGTAGCTAGAAAGGCGAAAGGACTTTGTCTTAACCTGATTAATAAAGAATTAGTTTTTATGATTCTTACCACTCCACATTTTACAGCATTTAAAACTGTCAATGTCCTTTAGCCAATCACCACAATCTCGTCTTAACCCAGTGACGTAGTAGCCATCTTTTTTACACAATGCCCATCCTTTTTTGTTGAAATCATTTTTGATATTTTCATAGTAACAATCACCATAATTGTCGGGATGATTGACTGGTTTGCAACATTTTCCCTCTTCGAGGTTGTGTAAGTGTTGTCCGTTTGTGCGATAGAGACCATTTAGAAAATATCCAATCGAACAAGCACTCCATCCTTTTCTGAAATACATTTTTAAGGAAATATGTTTGTATCTTTATTTTTTTTGAGGATTGAATGACACACACAGGACTGCATTTACTATTTTTTTTGTCGTTTTTTGTTGTTGTTCAGCATTTAGATTTAAACAGCTTATCCTGCTTATTTTTCCATATTATTTATACATTTATGTATACAGTCTTAAAAAAGTCAATTTAATTACGTAAATCTTCATTAGAAAAGTGTTGCTACACAAGTTAAAATGTAGCTAGCTACGAGCACATGGAAAACCAACAGACAAAAGATAGTAAGAAAAGAATTTTTCACTAAATTAAAGGACAACTTTCAAGACATTGCTCCTTGATATTATTTGAAAAGCTGTTTAAGTTACCACGTTTAGAGACTAAGAATGATTCAATTCGTGTGATAAAAATTAATGCCCAACATAAAGTTTTGATTAGAGCCCTAAGTTGAGCATTAATTTTTATTACACGAATTCGATTTCCACTTGACAAGTCTCTCGCTACTATTAAGAATGATTCGGCTATCGGTTGCTACTAATACGATCAGTGTTCACAATTAGGTAAAAAAAACAATAAAGTACAAAACTTGATAAAAATCAAAATTGAAAGTGAAAATAGTAAGCACTATCCTGGATCAACCTTTGAAAAAAAACCTGTAAATATTGGTACGCATTTTTTACGTTAAACTAAACAATCACAAAAGTTCATCATTTTAAGTCATAGTCCAAGTAATGTATCCAAACTTCTTACGTTTCCTTCATTTTCTCAGTAGAAAGAACTGAGAAAATGAACCAACAGACAATTAATATCAGTTAAAAGATTGATTCTGGGGGAAAATACTAACTTTTTCAAAGAGTCCCGCCAGTTAGCATTTCGGCAAATACTTTTCTGCCAAATATATATTGGACTAGATTTGCAGCATTTGGCTTCTTCAAGACGGTAAAGTCCATCATTGTTGGCACTTAATGCACTGAGATATAAGCCAGTGATAAACTGGTTTGTTTTGTCACAAGTTGACCATCCTTGTTTGTTGAAAGATACCCACCAATTTGCTTTTACACAGCCTGGTTTAACGTTGGCCAAAATAAATAACGTAATTTATATTTAAAATGAAGGGACAGAGCAATAATTCATTAAAGAAGTTTTTATTGTGACTAAAAATAAAATTCTTGAAGAAACATTATTATTTGACAATATTCATTGGTTGCATACAGAATGGAAGTAAAAAATAATTATTTTTATGTGATTATGTGCATAAGTACCTTTGAATTGGTTTTGAGCGTCATTAAACTAGGACCGTTGCCAAGTGATCACAACTGGGGAAGGGTGGTTGAATATTAAATTGCAGAGTGGAAACATCGTAATATGCCAATATATTGAAAAGACAAGTATATCAGAAAACTCATTTTTATTTCGTTTTATTGCTTAACTTATTTTAGGAGACATGATTGTTCTAAAAAACGTAATAAAAGCCACAGCTAATTTTTTCTAATTTTCTATAAAAACTGAATAAACGACAATATGCAATGGAACGGCGAATATAATTTCGGGTAACACTGATAATGTTAAAATTAAAAACTTTATTTTTTGTAATTTTAATTGACAGCAATATATTGAAAACAACACCATACATCGTGATTTTTTTTACAAAAAAGGCATGCAAGTATTTGAAAACGACAGAGCAATAATTCATTAAAGAAGTTTTTATTGTGACTAAAAATAAAACTCTTGAAGAAACATTATAATTTGACAATATTAATTGGTTGCACACAGAATGGAGGTAAAAAATAATCATGTATTATGCGATTATGTGCATAAGTAGCTTTGAATTGGTTTTGAGCAATAAGAGCAAGTCTAAAAAATCATATATGATTGAAATTGTGAACATTTAGCTCATCCAAAAAAGGCAAAGAATAAGAACTATGTTTAAATAGAACAGGATTGTTTAAAATGCGGGCCTATTAGTTTCAGCCTACATAGCCTAATGAAATAATTGGACACTACCCATACTTGTCAATTCTTTGAATAAGTTCATAAAATACAATCTCATTGGTTTAAGAAATTTTATGTAATATATTTTCGGTGCGCACATTCTAGGACGTCTGAAAACTTGTCAGTCAAAATGCTTTTTATAGTTTGGATTTACAGAATTCCAAGTTAAAACCCATAATAAAGTCAAAATACTTAATATAGCGTATCTAGGTTAGCAGGGCCATATCTAGGTTGCTAACTGCAGGAGTAGTGTTAACCCTAAACCTACCCTTCCTTTATGTAGAGAAAATCAAAATGTTCTGATGTTAACATATGCTAAAGTAAATGTTTTGAACCAGGATTATCGTTACAAATTTGTAAATGTTAATCGTCCAGTCAAAATCACTCTGAAGATGACTACCGCTAAGGTTGTCGAAACGTCAGTCAACAACAACAAAAACAGTCCTTCTCAGGACTATACCAACCTAGACGATCTACATTTACAAATATCAACATATGCTATTATCATTTAGAGAACCATATACTTCCAATTTAGTGTGCTGATGGAGTTTTAAGTGTATTGAAGCTTTTCATATATTTAGTGCTGATTTCTTGCTTGATTGTATTGATAATGATGAGCTTGCATGTTTGGCTGTGAGCCTTATTTTTGTGGTTACATGCAAAATGTACATGTGGAAAATTCCTTGCAAAATAGAACTGCACAGAGAACTCTTCAGATTTCTCAACTGAGAACAAAGTTTTAAAATTGCACAGAGATACTCTTTATTCATGATCCGTGATTAAAAGATCTTGATAAAGACACTAATACATTCATACCTTGGCACGAGTTACATTCTCCTGAAAATCCTTCCATACACGTGCAGTTCAATGTTCCATTAATTTTACGATAGTATGTAGGGTCCACATAAAGGAAAGCGAAAAGTTTTTGTCGCTATAAATATTAATAAAATTAAAAATAAAATCAAGCAGAGATTTTAAACGAAACATATTCTTCCTCAAAGAACACAATTTCTCCTCAGTAGCCACTATGACGTACCCAGCTAGCAAGTTTGCTATGTAATGTTGGTATTTTTGGTGTTTGCGAATATATCAAAACAAAACAATTAAATAAACGTTGAAACTTAACAGAGTATGAACAAATTTGCTGGCTGTTTGGGATACTAAAATAGGATGTATCTAAAGAAGTTAGATAATTGAAAAATGTTCAGAAAATTATCAATTCATCAATAGTTCTCGCAAAATGTGTCAAAGCTCGTGTATTTTGGCATTGCCTTGTCTTGTTTATTTAAAAGTAAAATGAATTAAAAATTAATCTCGAAAACCATGAGAGTACTTCGTGATTGCCTCAATTTGAACTGTATGCACAAAGAAAATGAAAAGTTTCAAATCTAGTTTCAAATCAAAATTTGATAAATATTAAGCTCACTGCAGAACATACTCAAATTGGATGTTTTTATCTTTCAACCTATTTTCATGAATTTTTTCTTATTTATGATTGATTACAAACCAGAGTGATTGTTGAAATGATGTAAGAAACAATAAAGACTTAAAGTTAACACCCAAGAAGTGTGGTGAATAGACAAACGGCAAAAACATACAAATTAGACACTTTGCACTTTGAACTTAAAGCTTATCAAATTTTCTATAATTTTGGAAGGGAGAACAACCGTTTACTTAGGCAATGTACATTTGAACGTTTTAACGTCTTTCTATTTTATGAACATTAGCGTGGGAGTTTTTGCAAGTCTTAGATTATTACGTCAAATAAGTAAATATTTCACTACCGTTTGAGTCAGGATTGATACTGTGTATTGCTACAGCCAAATCAAGATAACCGTTGTTTACAGGAAGAAAAAATTTACGTCTCGTACGTTGATCTGTTGTGTTATGGACACTAACGACACTTTGTCCGACACTAGTCATGATATAAATGAAATCCCCAAATACTGCCATGGGACCTCCTGAAGTTCCAAAATCAATTACATTACGGGAGTAGTAATCACAAGAAAAAACATTTCCGTTTGAAGCTCGCCAATAAATCTTCTCTTTAGCCATGTCAAGCGTTAGATCATGTGCTATTGACTGAAGTGAAACTGAAAAAATATCATGTTTATTTGCAGTCATGCTCCATAACCATAAGAAAAGTTCTGTACTTTCTGCCAAGATTAGATACCTTAATAAAAAACATTTGTTTTGTACATTAGTTTTCTCTATACGTATTGAAATACATAAACAATAAACAGGCTAATATATGCAAGAAAGGAAAGATAGAATTTTTTTTTTTAATTTAAACAAAGATGTTGTCAAAGTATTCAGAACTACCTTCATATATAGTCGGTTTAATGTAACATATTCATGAAATTTGATAATATAGCAACATAAAGCTATTGTAACTAACAAGAAAAGATCATCTTTATCGTTTGAAATCTCTCTTTTAAAAACCGAACTAAATTATATGAAGTAATTAAACATTGCATGTGATTCAGAGCATAATAAATGTAATATGTTATTTTTATTCACATAACCTATATGATTGGTATTGTTTGAGATTATTGTCGGAATGAGTAATGCTGTTGTTTTGGAGTGGCTGCCGAATGGTGTGTTGGTAATTGATAATGCTGAAAATTAGCTGATGCGGTGGAAATTTTGTTCAGAAGTGAAAATTTGGTGTTGGTAAATGATATGCACTATTTAATGTAGATATAAAATAAAAGCTTTGTCATTTCAATTTCAAGCTTTCTTAATTTTTCAGTTTCCTCTCTTGCATGAAAAATGCTTAGCTCCTTGGATGGATCATCGTCTACAAATGTCTTTAAAGAAGCTATAGCTTCACAAACATTGTCTTTTGTTGATGCTTTTTTCCAATTTGTTTGGAAAAAGATTTTATAACTATCTTACTTCTCTTTTTAATTGTCAAATTTTCATTGTTTTCTGAAAAATCAGAAAAATATTGACACCAGAGCTTTCGCTATTGGTATCATTTGAAAATGTTGATTCTATCATGTCATGTCATGATTCATTTTTCAAGGAATCTCTTGATTAGACATGTTGCAAAAA